GCCTCCGAAGCCATGCCGGGAGCCCTCCTGCATCTACGCAGGTCTTCTCGAAGTGCGCTAAGCTCAATTCAACGGAGTCCCTCGTAACATCCGAACGCAAGGCTCCTGCAAGGGGTTCGCGGGATGCCGTAACGGCTTCAGGGTCAGGGCGCGGCTTCCCTTCTCGGGTTTGGGGTTGGAAGAGCTTCGGATGTAAGCGCAGGGCGATAGAGGTGTTGGGTTCATGGCAGATTCACGGGCTTCCAGGCTTGCTGCACACAGCCGGCCGTTAGCTCTGATTACTTCATGAAGGTGTTTGAGGTGAGTAGAACACCGATAACATGGAAGAGTGGGAGAAGGATCTAGCCCAGGACCGGATGGCACATTTAGTGGAATCCATTCGAATCCGCAGTTCCTGTTGATCTCTGCGTTTGCAGGGCCATGCTAACCCGCCTGAGGCTCCTCTAGCTCCAGCCAGTCTCGCATGCAGACCTGCTTGACCGCGCCGAGCGAGCCGCGCCGCTGTGTGGTCAGGGCGGACTCCCGCACGGCATGCCGGACGACTACTTAAAGGATCATGGGACTTAGTAAGTAGGATTATAACTAAGGTAACTATGCTTATAACCCCAATTAAGGGACTTATAACCTTACTTACTAAGTCCCATGATCCTCTAAACCCTAAACCCTAAACCCTAAACCCTAAACCCTAAACCCTAAACCCTAAACCTTACTTACTAAGTCCCATGATCCTCCAAGTAGTATCTGGAGGATAAGGGCTTGGGGTCTCGGCCTGATAGCCTTCACCTGGTCAGGCCTGCTGAAACACATCCTGCACCGACCCATGCGGCGTCCTGACCTTGCCCTTGGGTTTCGAGTTTGGGGTTTAGGGTTTAGGGTTTAGGGTTTAGGGTAGACAAAAGCTTCAACCCTCTTGAAACCCAAGGCCTAAAGCCCAACAACAACCAATGTCAATGCTCCGGAAAAGGCCAAAGCTCCAAATAAACCCTAATACAACCTAAACAAAAAAACTTCCGCTGCTCCTTCGACGTCGAGTTTGTCGTTCTCTTTCCCATATTTCAGCTGGTCTCGATTCATCGCCTGGTTCGGTGATTCAAAAGCGGGCAAGCAGGTGCTCCAAGGGTTTAGGGCTTAGGGTTTAAGGTAGGGCCCCTAAACCTCAAAAGGGCCAAACCCCAAACCACAAAACCAGTACCCCAAACCCCCCAAGCCTGAGCAGTGCGATTGCCGTCTACTTCCAGATCCGGGGAAAAAACCTGAGACTAAACCCTAAACACTGCTAGCCTAATCCCTACACCTCAATCCGCAACCTTAAACCCCTAGTCCCAAGCCCGAAACCCCCTGTATAGGGGCTTTACTGGAACAAGACTTTGGTGCATATCCAACGAAAGTTCCAAAAAGTTTGGGATTCGTTCGGTGCTCGTTTCGGGGGTGCGGGCTCCCCCGCCCCGAGGGATCATGGGTGTGTGGACTTCGGGGCTTTGGGGCTTAGGGCTTGGGGCTTGGGGCTTAGGGCTGAGGGTTTGGGGTTTAGGGTTTAGGGTTTGGGTTGAGGGCTCCGCGGCTTGTACTTCAAGAGGCCCGGACATCACATCAATGAGTCGATACTTCTGTAGGAACATAAGGGGGTTTCCGAAAATTGGGGTACCTTATTTTGGGGTCCTTATATTAAGGATCCTATCATTCAGGGTACTATATTAGGGTCCCCTATTTTCGGAAACTCCCATAAGGACAGCCAAAACTTATCAGAAATTGCCACCTGCGCTTCAACCTTAAGGTGGGAAGGCTTGGGATTCACGATTGTCTTTTGGATCTCGGATGTTGACGGTGTAAGGCTTCAGGTGATCTTGGATACAGCAGAGAGAGAGAATTTCGGGCTCAGTGACACGGCGATCAAACCCTCGTCTGAAACTGGGGTTGACTCTGCAACTCTTGGGAGGCTTTCCGAACGATCAATCACAGGTTGACGTACTTCGTCCGGTCACCAGTTAGTTAGGTTGAGGGTTTAGGGTTATGAGTTCCCTGAACCCTAAACCCCAGACCGTCAGGGTCACTGTGCCTGTGGCCATGCCAGGATGGCAAGTGTCGAGTGCAGGGTCATGTTGGCCCGCAGTTCGTTCGACACGTGCGGCTTCCTGGGCACGGCTTCGGAAATCCCAGTCCGACACAAAAAGGTCTGCGGATGTATTGAAATCTTTTGGAATACGTCTTTCAAGCATGTATGCAACTCGTGACCACGCTCAACCTTGTCTACCTAGATAGGGCCAGATAGGGATCGATCAAAGCTTTCGCGCAAGTCTTTCGTGATTAGTAGCCTAAATGAACCCCAAACCCGTAGCAGGGTCTCTTGGCTGCTAAATTGACCATGAGAACTTCGAACATGCCTATCTAGGGCTACAAATCAAGCCTTACAGGGCTTAGGATTGGACTTCGGCCTCAGAATGAACATTTCTGGACTGTCGTGCTGCGGGAACAAGGAGAAGATACCTCGATAAACTCTACACCATCAACCACAAACGGAAAGGAAAAGGGCGTTGCTGGGAAGCGACTTCCGATTCAGAGTATACGGTCTTGTGGATCTGATTGTCACAATACCATTAACTGAATTTATTTAATTCAACAACCATAGCTTCATCAGGACCGCACAAACAACAAACGCTAGGACTAGTAAACATGATGGTCAACATCGTCGCATTCGCCACTTTTTGATGATCGAAAACATCCTCGTGGGGTGGACAACTGGGCCCTGGAAAACAGATGTTGATGTTGAATCTACTGCGCCTGCCACACGAAACAGGCTTCTTCTTGCAAAAGTTGACAGCATGTTCTTTTTGGCGTTTACCGTTTAGAATTGCTTCAAACTGGCGTTTTGGACACGCTAGTCGCTGTTTTCGGCTTGGTGAGGTTCTTGCGAGGGAAGTAGGAGATTGAAAGTAGCACTGCCGAACATACCGGAAGCACCACGCCTGTCACACGAAACAGGGTTAAAAACAGGATTGAGAATCTACTGAAGCAAGCCTTTGATTGATATGAGAGGAGATGACATGAGATGGTACGGGATGGTATGCGATCATCTGAGATTATGAGAGATGATCTGACACGTCATGGGATGGTATGAAATGATATGAGATCCAAACTGTGAACGCAAACAAACACGCTCTCAACTTTGCAAGAAGAAGCCTGTTTCGCGTGGCAGGCGCAGTAGATTCGACATCAACTACATGCACGCGACCATGGAGAACAGCAACAGGAAGACAAGCGTACTGAATCTTGAAACAGAGAATCATTACCCCCAGAACAAGCCAGAACTGGGCGCAGTTATCCCCCCAGGTGCAAAAGCATGGTGATAGCCATACTCATCACATGTGTCTTGAGCCCTTACCGGCAGCCCTATACCTGGAAACCGATGGTACAAGCGTCCAACTGGGAAGCCTTGGGACCCAATCCGCAAATCTACTGAAAACCCGTCGCGATTGATCCAAATGGCATGCTGGGTTCGGATTCAGACCAACCTCAAAACCTAAACCCTACATCTAGGGTTTTGGGTTCAGGTTTTGGCTATCCTGTTAGCTCCGAGAACTTCAACAGAGCGTTGCGGTGCGGTTCCAAATCAGTGTTCTCCAAACCCCTAAACCCAAACCCCTAAACCCTAAACCCTAAACCCTGAACCCTAAACCCTAAACCCTACACCTCATGGACTTACGGTGTCCCAGGACCAAACTTCAAAACATAGAGCCCCCCACACTGCTGGGCCCCTGCTTCCTTCGTGTTCAAAACAAGAAATCCCTAAACTCTATCCATTAAGCCCAAGGCTTAATGTAGGGGCCTTCATAATTAGAATAGCGTTTTGGGATATCTTATAGAAAAACTATAATAGGGAACCACCAAAATAGTATTGGAAATTATTTAGGCTTCCACATTACAAGAACGGAACCTGTTTGGGCCCAGCCACCCAGGGCCGGGTTCGAAATTTTCCGTCGCGATGGCTTTGAGAATCGCCCTCTTGTCCTCCTCCTGCGGCTTCTGCTAGGCACGCCGAGAGTTTGAGGATTTACTTCGCCCTCTTTTCGATCTCGGGGTTTGACCATCGACTTGACTCGTCCTTCCAGCCCTCCAGAGACTCCACAAGTGTTTAGGGTTTAGGGTCTTTTAGGATTTAGGGTTTAGGGTTTAGGGTTTGGGGTCTTTTAGGGTTTAGGGTTTCGGGTTGAGGGTTTAGGGTTTAGGGTTTAGGAAAACTTAGACCAGGTCCCCAACATCCAGAAAAAGTCTCGCACCCTCAGGGACTGGCCACGGCAGATCCTTGACGTACCTAACTGCCTGGTGCTTAGTAGGGAATGGGGGCATGGATCCCTATGATAGTCCCTTAAGGTCCCTTATAGTAGTCCCTATAACCCATTCCTCCATTCCCTACTAAGCACCAGACAGATAAGCAAGGAAGGAGTTGAAGGGACTCCCGCGAGCTGAAAAATGGAGGCTCTGGTGGTCACAGCTGGTGCTATGACAGCGCAAGCCCTGCCCTGCAACCTGCCGCTGATGCTCATGATGCTTGGTCTGGCTGTCGACACTGACAATGCCGTCATCGCGCGGCGTGCAGCTGATGCTGATGATGCTTGGTCTGGCTGCCGATGGTCGAGCGGCCTGCGGCTGATGCTCATCATGCTTGGTCTGGACTGTCGACACTGGCAATACCGCCGTCGAGCGGCCCGCCGCTGATGCTCATGATGCTTGATCTGGCTGTCGACACTGGCAATGCCGTGGCCAAGCGGCCTGCCACTCAACCCAGGAGCGTGGCTTCTAGGATGCCAGTGGATCCGACGTTCTGGTTTACGAACAAGTCCGGACCCACGCATAAACCCACGAACAGCGTAGGCCCGTGATGTAGCACGAATTAGCCGTGCCACCCGTGGAAGCTTAGCAATCAAGCCATTGATGTTTAGTGATCGGGGTGACAAGAAGAAGAAAGCCCAAAATGCAACAAACCACAGTTTTTTCAACATGCCTTTCCCCGACATGGCCCTACGCTTGGGTTGGCTTCTTGGGTTAGGACCTCCTTACAAAGAAATAGATTCTCAACGGTGCCTCCTGTGCCAGGACCCTGTGGACAACCCACAGATGTATCTGACCAGGAGGCCAAACCCCTAAACCCGAAACAAAGCCCCAAATGCTCTCCCGATCGGGTTTAGGGTTTAGGGTTTGGGGTTTAGGGTTTAGGGTTTAGGGTTTAGGGTTTGGGGTTTAGGGTTTAGGGTGTAGGGGCCCTGATCGGGTTTCGGGGCCGTCGAGGATCTCAGGCTTCGGAGAGTGATTTGAGGCTTGGGAGTGAAGCTTAAGGGGGCCTGTTAACGTCTGCTCATCAAGGGTTCAGAATCTGCATTGCAGAAGGCTGTTGTTCTACCTCAGTGGACATCGTACTCCTGGGTTCAGGGCTCAGGGTTCAAGGTTTGGGAAACCCCCGGCGCCGACTCGACGCCTTGGAAGTCTGGAGTTTAGGGGTTTAGGGGTTTAGGGGTTTAGGGGTTTAGGGTTTAGGGTTTAATCTGAAACGGAGATGTCAGGGACAGAGAGACTGCGGTCGCTGTCTGGATCTCCTTGTAGACTCCTTCTTCTTCTAGTAGGAACCCAAACCTGCAACCTGAATCTGCAACCAGGCAGGATTGACAATGGCGTGTCACAAGATGCACAGAGCTCCCCTAAACCCTGAACCAGGACCCGTCATGGACATTCATGGACAGAGGTCCTGGGTGGCCATGCCGTTTTCCAGCATGACCTCCAGCCCATGTGCCTTGGGTTGCTGGTGGGGCTTAAGATACATGCTTTACTATCGCTAAACTTTCAGACCCATTTGCTATCTGAGGGCCCATGTCTTCGCGCAAATCTCGTTTCAGAGGTTTGCCAGGGGGTTTGCCTACTGCAAGTAACAAACTGGCTACGACCCCTCTGCAAAAAGAAGCTTGCTCAAAACAGCCGCAGAGCTAGCAGGTTGATGGGGAAATTCTGCTCCCTGACGGACTTGGCCACTGCTGATTCCTTGCTTCTCCAATGCCAAACGATCCTATAAGGACAAAACTACCCCAGTAGAACCCAGGAACCAACATGTAAAACCCTGCCAAAAAAATCATAAAACCCTAAACCCTAAACCCTAAACCCTAAACCCCAAATTGGAGAAGTGAGAATCGCCAGGTACCAGGTCCTTGCTCAACATGCGCGTCTCTGCTTCCCTCCTGGGATCTGGAGTGTTACCAGCAGATGCGCCAAGGACCGGTCTGGTAGTTCTCTAAATTGGGGGTCCCTTTAAGGTCCTTCTTATAGGGATGCCGTACACTTTGGGGGACCTAAAAAGGACCCTAATTACCTTAATTTCGGGAACTACCCATGTCTTGAAACGTCTCATTCAAAGCCCGGGCTCCCGTGTCTGGCTGGAATGGTAGTCACGATGTCGAGTCCCATGTCACGACTCATGATGGCCGTGTAGAGCTCGAAGTCACACCAAATCCTCGAGAAAGGAGTGGCCTTTGGGTCCAAGATCAGGAGGAGACCCTGCGCCGAACGAAGCGCCGCGTTGAAGGATGTGGACGCCACATCGACTGAGATCTCTTGATCGAGTTCGTGCTGGCGATTGGCATAGCCACACCTTCAGCTGCGCATTTTTGTTAATGCGGCTCTGGCTTTTGTTAGGCATCCTTTCAACCCGATAGCTTGCATTGCAGGCGGGTCTAACCAAAAAACAAAAGAGCATTTGGCTGCAGAGCCACACCCAGTACCGTGCATCCACCACGAGGTGCCGAACTTCTGCGTGGCGCTGGCAACCCGCCGCGAACTCGAAGATCGGCTCTCCCCACCAGTGGCTGCAATACCATACTGGCGCACATGGCCTTAGTTGCTGAGTTCATAAGCCCCAAAAAGTGTGCACCTTCAGTTCTATAAGGGATCATATAATCCCAAAAAGTGTAAAGTGTACTCACTCAGCTACTAAGTGGCTGTGTAGACAAAAGCTCCTTGTAGCTCGTACTGGCCCCATTGCATGTGACCTTCCTTACGTCCCCAAGAGCCTAGGGGATGAAACGGTAATCTGTCAGGAACTTCTAGTATCATGTTTAAGAATCCGAAGAACCCAAGACATCCCTAAACCCTAAACCCTACACCCTAAACCCCAAACCCTAAGCCCTAAACCCTAAACCCTAAACCCTAAACCCCAAACAAGGTGTTGAAGAGCCACGCTTCTCAGGGGCCGGGGCCCAGTCCCCACCCTCCCTGGCAAGACGCAGCGGCGGAGCCCCCGGCCCAGCCAGGAACCGTCCACGCTTCCTGGGCTCTGAGGGTTTAGGGTTTAGGGTTTAGGGTTTGGGGTTTAGGGTTTAGGGTTTAGGGTTTAGGGTTCTGAAATGATCCATTGGAAATCATCCTGGGTTTGGGGTTGAGGGTTCTGAAAGTATCCGTTGGAAATCATCCTGGGTTTAGGGTTGAGGGTTCTAAAAGTATCCATTGGAAATCATCCTGGGTTTAGGGTTGAGGGTTCTAAAAGTATCCATTGGAAATCATCCTGGGTTTAGGGTTGAGGGTTCTAAAAGTATCCTAAGGAAATCATCCTGGGTTTAGGGTTGAGGGTTCTAAAAATTATCCTAAGGAAATCATCCTGGGTTTAGGGCTTAGGGTTCCAAAAGTATCCAAAGGAAATCAAAGGAAGGAAGGAGACAAAAGCCAGATCCCAAGCCAAGCTGGGCGGAATCGCCGAGTTTCAGGTCCACAAGAAGGTCCAAGCACGGGCTTCCATCGCTCCGGTTCTCTTGGACCTGGCGGACGATGGCAATCGCTCTGGGCAGCGAAGCGTCCTCTGACACCTGCGGGCCGTTTGGCTTGGGAGACGGCACAGAATGAGATACTTACACCAGCCATCCACTGCAAAGGGTTTAGGGTTTAGGGTTTAGGGTTTAGGGTTTAGGGTTTAGGGTTTAGGACACCAGCCATCCACTGCAACAATGGCAGGGCTTAGGCTTTGGGGATTGGGGTTGCTTTGCATGGGCCGAACCATCAAAAGCACAGCTGGAATCTAGGCCGGGCGGGGCTTCTTTGCTTCGAAACCCTAGACTTCCTGTATGGGGGTTTCCGAAAATCGGGGACCCTACTATACTACCCTAAATAATAGGATCCTTGTTATCAGGAGCCCGAAATAAGGTACCCCCTAACCCTAAACTCTAAACCCTAAACCCTAAACCCTAAACCCTAAACCCTAAACCCTAAGCCTGCAGCAGCTGCTGGCCCACAGCAAAAGCTGAGCCGGATCGGTGCCCAGACGGAGCCAGAGCCCCTGAGGAGGCGACGTCTGCGGAAGGATGTAGTGATAGGCCTCGGCTTTTTGTTGGGGCTTGGGGTTTAGGGTTTAGGGTTTAGGGTTAGGCCTCGGGGTTGAGGGGGTTTTTTCGGGGGGCTTATAGGGTCTGGAGCTTAGGGTTTAGGGATTTGGGGGGTAATGATAGGCCTCGGATTTCGGAATACAGAGCTTGGGTTCGGGGTTGGTCGGGGTTTCAGGTTTCGGGATATAGAGCCTTTTGGGATTTAGGGCTGCGTTCAGGCTTGGTCTTTAGATGGGTTTTTGGGCTGATAGCTGACATTTTTTAGCATACTCTCCTCTCACGCATGATGCGATTTGATTGGGGCTTGAGCTCTGTGTTGGAGCTGAAATAATTCTTGGAACCAGGGTTTAGCTGAAGTAATTTTTGGAACCAGGGCTTAGCAGAAGTGACTTTTGGAACCCTGCTGGTGCCAGGGTTTCGAAGGTGTCGACGTTTCAGGTTGGGGGGAGCCTATGCCTTGCAGCGCGGCTGCCCGTCAGAAGCCGAGATGCGAAGTCGTACCTGGGCGATCAGTGCGGGCAGGACCTGAACCCCGAACTCTCTCCCTGTCTTACGTAGGTTCAGGGTTCAGGGTTTAGGGTTTTGGGTTTAGGGTTTAGGGGTTTAGGGGTTTAGGGTTTAGGGTCAGGCTTGTTGCTTTCCAAGCTTTGACGGGTGCCGGCCATGGCCTTGTATTGACACGAAGGGGAAGCCAGGGAAATGTCGAACTACGGCTGATGATATAAATCCTGCATTGCCCATAATAAGGAATATACCATAATACTAATATGGTTTAGGAGTTTAGGGTTTAGGGTCCTTGAGGTAATGCAGGATTTATATCATCAATTGTAGCATCAGCCCCTATTCTTGAAAACGCTGGGACAGTTTTGGGCTCCGCGCAGCGAAGTCTAAGAATATCTCAGTACCATCAGTCTTAAACCGAAATCCTAAACCCCACACTGACTGACGAATGTCCGACCGAGCCATAAAACCCTAAACCGCAAACCCCAAACCCCAAACCCTAAACCCCAAACCCCAAGCCCCAAACCCTAAACCCCAAACCCTGAACCCTAAACCCGAACCTTTCTGCGCAAGTGCAGGTTCAACTTCTCGGGCACCAGATGGTGGCCAGAGCGTTCACTCCTCCGGAGGCGTCGAGGTGGGAGGAATGTGTTTCAAGGGTTTCGGGTTTAGGGTTTAGGGTTTAGGGCGGTTTGTAGGGTTTCAGGGGACTGGCTTATGGCGAGGTGAGGTTTAGGCTTAGGGGTTTGGGGGTCACGGTGAAGATAAGGGACCCAAATCTAGACCCTCAGCAGTGGGATCCTCAAGAAATCCCCCCCAAATAAAAGCACACCTCGGTCAAAGAAGTATAAACTCTGAATTAACAAACCATTCTAACAACCCTTGAAACACCCCGATATCACCCTGCATTGTAGAAGCCCGATAACACCCTCCTGCAATCTAACTTTGAGGATCGCTATTGGATGTGCCGGGGCCCCGTCCAACATTAGTGCAAGGGGCGCACATGGGACGGTACAAGGGGTATGCTTGGCACGATTTAAAGGGTACTAGAACAGGGCGACATGTACCACATGTAGCACGACCAGCACGACATGCACCAAATTTTGCATGACAGGCGCACCACAGGGCCACTGCAATGTGCCACATGCCATTGTGTTGCTCTGGCCGTGCCACTGCACCGTCCCACATGTAGCCGGACATGACCCCTACTTTTCAATGTTAAACCATGCTATGTCACACTCATTTTGGCACGGTAGTTTGGAACGGTACAATGGTGCACAAGGTATAGCGCGCATCGAAGCGGCCCGCAATGTGCACCAGAGAAGCGTCCATATGTACCATCAATGCAACAATCGTTGTGTACCTTTGACTGTCCCACGCGTACCCTAAAAAACGCCCCATACCATCAGTTACTTACCACCCAAGCGCCCAAACTGTACCAACGAAGCGTCCCTATGTGCCATATAGCTCCCCCCGGCTAACTGGTCTTCGAGAGTTGGTAATGACAACCTGAACAAGCCTCTGAGAGTCCCAACCACACCGTACCAAACCTGATACTGAAAACACCCTATAAACCCTTTACCCTAAACCCTAAACCCTGAACCCTAAGCCCTGAACCCTTGAAGATCTCATAGCTCACTTTGGCCACTCCTCCAGCCGTGGCAAAGGCGCGGGAGGTCGCTGCGAATCGTGAGCAACTCCTTTGGGCCGGGCTCTCTATGGTTTAGGGTTTAGGGTTTAGGGTTGAGGGTTTAGGGTTTAGGGTTTAGGGTGACAGAACTGGACGGGGGGTTTTGGGTTCAAGGTTGTGTGTTTGGGGGAGGGGGAAGTAGGGCCAGCGGAGGGTCTGTGGCTTGTGGTTTTGGGGTTTACCATTTAGGGCTCAGGGTTCAGGAACTGATTTGAAAGTTACCACGATATCTGAAGGATTCTGCAAGGCTTTGCTGGGAGGGGTTCTAGGGCATTCGGGGTTACTTGGGTTCTGGCGTCGCTTCTAGATGGGTTCTTGAGGAACAACATGGAACGGTAAGGCATTGCGCTCAAGCTCCTAGGGAAACCAGAAATGATTTTTGTAAGACCCCGCTTTCATCATTCGACGTGCTTAGATGTACGCCGTCACACGCCTACACCGCCCACGCCGTTCATAGCACCCACTGGTCAGCTTCCGGCCCGTCCTGCAGTGTGACGGCCCGCTGCCATGACTGCAGGTTGCTTCTCTGAAACGCATGGATCTGGATGTCCTCAGCCTCCACCTGCAAATCGGAGCTGATGCGGACGGGCACTGCAAGGAAGCATGCCGAGTCGTCGGGTCGAGACGCTCTGAAGCCCTGCCAAGCTGCAAGAAAGCCCACGAAAGCCCCCGGCCCGAATTCCGACATGTTAAGGCCACGCTTCTACGCCAGCCTCCAAGACAGGCTCGTCGGGGTTGAATTCGTGGATGTCGGGACTCCAGCCACTTGACGTCTCCGACATCTGATCAGGCTTCAGAAGGTTTAGAGCTAGATTGAGCCTCAAGGATTCGAGGCGGTTCCATCTGTCTGAGTGGGCTGTTCTCACCCGCAGTTCAGGAGCCGTCTTACCGCATGCTCGCACGGACTGCTGTGGGAAGCCCTTGTCGTCTACGGATTGTATGTGAAGTCTCAAGACACCCTTCCCGGCACTAGAAGACACGAGGAATATCCGATCTTTGCGAGGCCGCGGCTAGCTACACTGACAGCTCGATTATGAAGCCATGAAGCCTTGGGTTTAGGGTTTAGGGTTTAGGGCTTAGGGTTTAGGGTTTAGGGTTTAGGGTTTAGGGTTTAGGGTTCAGGGGATAACCAAAGCAAGTCCCTCGCTCCGATCGAGAAAAGTCTCGATCGGGAACCAAAGCTCTCGGTGCAGTTCAGGAGCAAGTGGAGACAAGGTACTGTACCCCAGACCCGACCCACGCATGAACCCTAAACCCTAAACCCCAAACCCAAAACCCTAAACCCTAAACCCTAAACCCTAAACTGCCAAAATACTTGTAGAAGCTCCCTGTTTTCGAACCTGCCCTCGAAGCCTAAACCCTAAACCCCCGGATCTGGGCCTGTTCTTGTATCACCCGAGACTGAGAGTGGCGGATGCCTTGGCTCGCAAGACGCTCCGCAGCGAGCAACCTGGGCGGTTTAGGGTTTAGGGTTTAGGACTTCCCCACCTCTGGTAGGTTGATGAACTCAAGACAGCAACGACTGCAATCCCACGCCCGGCCATCCCCTATACCGCCGATGACAGGCCAGCAGAGATAGGATGAGCCGACAGATATCAGGACAGGAACATCTTTCAGCACACTTCTGGATGTATGATTTCAGGCACGCTTCACGACTGGGGTTTGGGAGTGAGACAGGAGTCGCTTGAGCATGGCTCGATTCCACAGAAAGTAAGGCATTAGGTTGAAGGCGAGCCGTGTTTATGGAAAAGCAAGAAACTTGCGTAGGAGGGCTCATTCAAGCCTGATTGCCCTGAATCCCAAAACCCTTAACCGGCTGTTCTTCGAGTGCCGGAGAAACCTATCGTTTTTTGTTGCGCCTCAAGGTTCTCTACTTTACTCTACTTTACTCTCCTCCACTCTACTGAAACTGGAAACGACTCTGAGGCGAGGATATGGAAAATCTTCTTCGCATCTGACATGTCCAGCTCCAGGGTGCTCAGGAAGGCGTGCATCCGCTCGTCCTCAAACAGCCCAGCAACCCACAACATGCTCCTAAGTCCTAAGTCCTTAGCCCTAAACCCTGTTGGAAGAAAGCACACACACACACACAGCATCTCAAGAAAACTAGGTAAGGCTTTAAGGGCACCGGGGGTGGCCAATCCAGGTCACCCCGAGCGCTAAGCAGTGCCAACGGAAATCCGATCCTGCCCTCGGAGTCTACAACCTTCAGGAAACTCTCAACGCCTATGGTTCCACGAGGCAGTTGGAGATGTTTTGCCATGTTCCGATAAGGACAATACCGTTTTTGAGGTTTTGAGGTTACAGGATAGTGGTGAGGGTTATCAAGGGAGATTACCTCGATGTCTTGACGATGATCAACTTGACGCATCGCCGTTAACGCTTGTCGCATCTGTGGCACAACAGGTTTACGACGGCACTACCAGTGTCTTCTGCTAGAACTGCAAGCAAATGTAGACTCAGGCTTCGAACAGACTCGTGTCGCCACCATCCACACCACGGTTCTATTCTCCCTCTACTTTACCACAGACTCTTGCTGTCATGCCAAGTTTCCGCCCTAGACCCAGGCCCCAAATCCGAAGTTGCATATCCCAGCACGAGCATCTCATCCCTAGATTTCTACTCCAGCACCGAACATCACGAGAGCTAGAAACCAGGCTTAGGGTTTATGGTTTAGGGCTTGGGGTTTAGGGTTTGGGGTTTAGGGTTTAGCAATCGAAGATCCTGCAGAGCCAGCTGGAACTCCGTCCAGCTCACCGCACCATTGCCGTTCGTATCAAGCTCATGGAAGGTTTCGTATAGCTGCTCGACGAGCTTCTCGTTGTACTCCAGCTCCTCCAAGACTCTGCGACATCTTGACACCTAAATATTTAGGGCTCTCGTGGGAAACTCATTTGGGCGATGAGAACAAGGAGAGCATGCTACGGCACTTACTTCATAGTTCAGATGGTAGCAGCTACGTTCCCTAACCTTAGACCACGAAAGCACAGCAACGCGCCGAGAGCCCACCGATGAAGCCCGCAGCTCTGGAAACTTCCCCGGCAACAGAAAAAACGCCTCCGGCTGAAGCATGCAGTGGCTCTCTGAAAGGATTCGAGTGACGAAGATGTCTAGGGTTTTTTGGCTCCAACCCTAAACCCTAAACCCTAAACCCTAAACCCTAAACCCTAAACCATGGCCTTGAGGTTCTCCGGGCCTTGCTGTTCAAGCTAAGCTCTCTTGGGCTCTACCATCTTTTCTAATGTTTCGCCTTTCTGAAACTTAGCCTTCCCACCCCTGATCCCTAAGCTGGGCCTAGGGTTTAGGGTTTAGGGTTTAGGGTTTAGGGTTTAGGGTTTAGGGTTTAGGGGTTTAGGGTTTAGGGTAAGTCCCCTACCGTCAAAACCCCAGACCCTAGCTGAAAATGCCTCCACAAACCCTAAACCCTGCACCCTGAACCCCAAATTTCAAGCAACCAAAACCCCCAAACCATCCCAAACACAAGCGACCAAAACCCCAAAACCCTACTCCGCAGTCCCCAGAACACGAGTTCCGAACTTGGCTTCTGCGCTCTTCGCACGGCTAGGCTCCCGAGCGGGCTTAGGGGTTTAAGGGTTCCGTCAGCGTCTGACAAGACGCTCCCAACGAACCCTTAAATAGTAGAGTCCTTTCCTGTCAGGGTCCCCAATCAGATAACCCCGCTTTTTGCAGACACCACGAGGGAGGCCACAAGCCTAAACCCTAAACCCT